CCCACGAGGATTGTGTCTAACTAAGTACCAAAATAATTAATCCAAATTTATTTAAACAACCAAATGGGAAGAAAGTTTAACTAAAAAAATAATAAAAGGAAAATAACAATTAAATTAAACCTAACCAAAATATGAGATACTAAGGCATTAACTTCACCATAATCAATCAATATAAATGCTGGATTAATAAATTGTTAAGTATTATTGCATGTGATGGCAAATTTCCCTAAATTAATTAACTAACTTTCTCAAGTCAAGTTAATCCTTCACTGGTTTGTTAAATTAATCATATCTCTATGTAATTTTAAACAAACTAATGAGCATTAGATTTTATGGAAACCTCTAGCTTAAGAAGGGAGAGCTACTAACTCTCTTCTCTTCCTCCACTACCACATGTGAGCTAATTACCTCTCGGTCTCATAGTCTAGCACACAGTTTATATTATTATTGGTTTAATCTACGTAATTCTTTCTCAAGTTCATGCATAAATCACTAAATCAATTGAAAGATGATCAGGCTTCCAATGTATTAAGTTAAATAATGTAAACTCCTCATGCGAATAACTTTAATTAAAAATATAAAATCACAAAATTTATATTGAATTGATTAGGCTACATCATAGCCTTAATAAAATAAATTAGTTCATAATAAAAAGAATAAAATATGAAATCAAAGTTATGAACATTCAAATATCAAACAATAAATAAAAACCCAAGGAAGAATAAAACCTAATTTGAGAAAATTGCAATTCTTGATCTTCTATTGTTGAATCCTCTATCTTGACCTCCAAGAATGCCCAAGACGGCTGCCACAAGCCTCCTCCAAAGCTCTTCTCATTCTGAATTGGGATGGGTATTTATAGGATTTTAGAAACCCTAATTGAAATAAAAGTAGGACTTGGAATAGAAATAGGAAACTGAATTTTAGATGCTGATCGCGTAGTGCTGACACTTCCGATTACGTGTTGACACAAAATAGGAAACATAATCTGATTCTGGACGTTTAGTGCATGGTGTCGACACCCCGATCATGTGTCGACACTACACCCGTGTCGGGTTTTTGGTCTCCTTTTGCAATTTCTTCAATGGTAAAACAGCAAATTTGGTTCCTGACTTCTGGATTCTGCACATGTTGATCCTCAAGTCTCTAATCTCTTCAATTTACTTCTAAAAAGTAGGATTTCTTCCAATTAAATCCTTTCCTACACAAAGAATGAAAACCATGTAAAATCAAACAAAATCTCATAAAACTCATCCAAATATCAATAATATCAAAGTAAAAATTCCCTATTAATATGTATATAAATTTAGCTCATCATCTAATGTCGATTGGGTTAGTGATCCTTCCAATCGCAGATCTATCACTGGTTACTGTTTTTCTTTAGTAATTCTCTTAGCAGAGTAAGAAACAAACTATTTGATCTTGTTCTAGTACTAAAGTTGAATATAGAGCTCTCGGTGATACCATATCAAAACTTTTTTTTATTATGGTGACTTCTTGAAGATATTGGTATTCCTTAGCTTTATTCTATCAATTTATATTGTGATAATCAAAGTACTATACAAATTGCTCACAATAATGTCTTTCATGAGCACACAAAGCATATCAATGTTGATTATCACTTTATTTGTCATCATATTGCAAAGGAAATTGTTCGTTTGATTTCATTAGTTCTACTAATCAGCTTGTAGATTTGTTCACCAAGGCTCACTTCCTTAGACACT